TATAAATATATATACTAAAATGTAAAAATCAATTTCTAAAATATATCAATAAAATACATCAAATTTCTAAAATTGTAAATTTAAATTGCAAAATATAAAATATAAGTGAATAGACAAAATGATAACTGTATTTTCAACTTGATTTTAATCGAATACAGAAAATAATTCTAGTGAAAAATATTTTACACAATCACATGATAATTTTTGAAATAAGCATGATATGCAATTCATTTTTTTTTTTATCACATTTTATTGTAAGAAAAGCGTAACATCTATTTACTTAGTTAATCTGCCCTTTATTTGGGCTATGATATGGAGTTTTCTTCATACATGTTATAATACTACTAATATCTTTAACTTATTTTGGATGAAGATGACATTTGCATTTTTTAAAACATTCCATCGTGAATGCCGATAGGTACTAACACAGCTGTGAACAGCAACAAATTGCGAGCTACTAGTTTCCAATCATTCGGTACTGCATAAGGTGCTAAAATGCGAGTCAATCTATGAATCTAGAAGAAAGAATATCTCAATAAGATCTCAATAAGAAAAAAAATTTTTTAATTATCGTTAAAATTATAATTGCAAATATCAATATAACAGAAATAATCTGTTTTTCTTACTTCGTGACTAGCGCATATGAAAATAAACGACGTAATCAACAAGTTCAACACGGGAAATCTGGGTAATAATACAAGTACTCCATGCGAATCTGCTGCCAACCATATATGGCCTTGCGCAACCAAAGTTTCCAAACTTATTCTACCTAATCCAGCTAAAAGTGCAGAATGTTTTCCGCGTAATGCCAATGATGCATTTCGAAGAGCAATATAGCCTACAATCTAACAGATTACATTAATTAATGAAATAGCAATATAAAAAAAATTAATAAATATAAGAGAAACGAAAAATATAATATGAAGGAAAGGAATAAATAATAAACGAGTTAAAGCAGTTTACCGGAATGAACGCAACGTAAGAATGAATTTCCTCGCATTCTGATACAGAGTGACACAAAATTGTGAAAGTGGTATACGCTATTAAGGAAATTAATGCCAGTATAGAAGACAATGCAGTGCCTGGAATGTGATCTATTCTCTGAAGAGCGACAAGACCAGCTCCAAAAGTCAAGCCCCAGACTACGCTGTATCTGTCGACTCTCCAACGAGACCACCATTCACGGATATCATCATCAGTTGTCACGAATAATGCTTTCCAGGGCCTCGTGACAAAAACTTTCTCAAAGAACACCTGCATTAATAAAACATGTTATATTTTAAATATATTTTTCAAAAAAAAAATTTTTTTTTTACCTCTGACATGTATAATACGGTAATTGTTGATACAAGACCCAAAAGTTTTAGAGCAAAGTATAGCAAGGCTCTCGGTCCATATTCTGTTAAACTTCCAGAATATATTCTGGGTGGTAACCAAGCTAGAAAGTAAATTACTAAAAACCAGAATGATACTAATGGTACAAAGTGATAAAATTGATATGGTCTGTTCATGCAAAGGCATAAGGATACTGTCAATAAATTTAATCGAAACATAACCTGAAACACAACAAACAGATTTGATTCCACTGGCAAAAATATGATTTTAATGACTTGAGTTTAAGTTGCGTTATAAAACTTTTTTTCTAATACTTACTCTAGCAAATCTGACAAGAGATACGTCGCCAGTTTGCCAAAAATAATAAAAGTGTCCATATCCAGACAAGAATAAGTAGGCAGAATTAATTAATCTTAAATACATATAGATCGGTAAGACATTTTTGGCACCAGTAACATGGTATATAAGCACAACCGCTTGCATTAAACCTCTCCATTCATCCGTTTGTTCTCTATTTAACACTCTCGGTCCCCTCTCGCGATCTTCAGTGAAAAATAATCCAAGAGCTAAGATATAGCCAAGTGGTAGCCAAAAACTGAATTCACTGTAATATTTATTCTCCTTCATGAAAAAATTTGTTCTAAAAATGATATAAGAGAGCAGAGAATTATTAAAACTATTGCAATAGCTATTTAATAAGACAAGATTACAAACCTTGGCAAGCGATTACTTACCTGTCGCATAAGTAAAAATATGCTAATATAGTTGAAAAGAGAGCCAGTGATGTAATGAGGGTATAGAAATCTTGTATCTCAGGTTGCTTAACTTGAATGACCTCCGAAGTACCTGCTTCTTCCGTGTCACTTACTTCCTCAGTGGTAACATGAGAATAGGATACTTCGAAACGATACCTGTACAATTTTCTATATAGCCATACACCTCCTCCTATTGTTACGCTATAAAAAAGAATATTAAAAAAGATTATTAAAAAAAAAATTGTTTTCCATAAGAAGAATAAATCATCGAATTAACGAATTACAAATAAATAATATTAGATACTCAATTACAATAATGCAAGCGCAGATAGAGTTAACAACTGTAAAGTAGTTGCCGGCTCGGGATAACTGCAACAACTGCCATCATCGAAATTCATATGATCATTGCAATATGTATTTAATAATATTTGAACTTTATGCCGAAGTGACAATGGACTCGCCAAATAACCATCTGGACTTTGTTCAAGAACACCTGTACCGACTAACTTGCTGCTTTGCCATATACGAGCCTCACTGTGAGATAATATCTGTATGCAGCGATTATAGAATATTTATCTTTTCCTTTATATTGTCAGATAAACATATCGTCGATGTTACCTTCTCGGCTGCTTTGTTGCACAAGTTAATCTGTTTGTTGTCTAAACTCGACAATTGTGCGGGCAGTCTTTCCTTGAGTACAGGATCTTGTAAGAGCCATAGAAATTGAGAATCCTTTTTAGCCAAAAAATCTATCGGCTGTACTAGTCGAATCAAACCTGTATTGTATTCCGAATAAAGTTGCGTATCACTATTATTATTTGCAAGAATCACAGCTGCAGCAGAGCCTGCGACAATTACACTAGGTGCATCTGCCTTCTATAACAAGATAAATGTAAATTTCACTATTTCATCCTCTGATTCAAACTTCTTATGTGTGCATTTATACAATTTATCTTATTTACTTATTGTATAATATACATGTATCATACCATCCAGCCTCTAAGGTTTGCTGTCATAGAATTATCAAGTCGTGGCCTCCATAGAAATTGTACATTTAACTTGAGTTGTCCATCATTAAAGCCCAAGTCGGAATTTTCTGGTAGCTCCGTAAGATCGGATGTTTTACCCTCAACCATAAATTGTGAAACAAATGATTTATATAATTGCCTTATTCTAGTATCACCGATAAATACAAAATGATTATGGTGGCCCATGAAAGCTAGATATCTCATACATCTTCTGCTGTCTCTATAAAATTTGATGTAAATTTTTTTCTATATGAAAGTTAAGTTCTTTTTATAAAATAAATTATAAATAATCTTACGTTTGTGTATAGTGGTGCATCATGCAGCCATATGGTTGCCATTCCTTGTCTCCTTTATATCTGCCTTCTGTCAATAACCATTTGCAAGAATCGCTACCTATGACAGAAGTTAATAATCTGTTTATATGTGCGCCAATAGTAAATTACTTGTATTATTAGAATTAAAAAATGAAAAACATTGCAAAAATTGTTTTTATAAATTTTATGGCTTGTTAATTTTTATTTACTTTGCAGATGTTGCCACTATATTTACCATAAATAAGATGTATGACACTATGATATATAATAAAACAGACAACAAGCGCAGTAGCTAATTTTT